CATTACTTGTGATTGGTCTGTTCATATTTTCTATTTCTTCCTGGTTCAGTCATGGAAGGTTATACCTTTCTAAGAATTTGTCCATTTCTTCCAGGTTGTCTATTTTGTTGGCATAGAGTTGCTTGTAGTAGTCTCTTAGGATGCTTTGTATTTCTGCGGTGTCTGTTGTAACTTCTCCTTTGTCATTTCTAATGTTATTGATTTGAGTCCTCTCCCACTTTTTCTTGATGAGTCTGGCTAATGGTTTATTAAGTTTGATTATCTTCTCAAAGAACCAGCTTTTAGTTTTATTGATCTTTACTGTTGTTTTCTTTGTTTCTATTTCATTTATTTCTGCTCTGATCTTTATGGTTTCTTTCCTTCTGCCAACTTTGGGTTTTGTTTGTTCTTCTCTAGTTCCTTTAGGTGTAAGGTTAGACTGTTTATTTGAGATTTTTCTTGTTTCTTGAGGTAGGCTTGTATAGCAATAAACTTCTCTCTTAGAACTGCTTTTGCCGCATCCCACAGGTTTTGGATTGTCGTATATGTAACCATCTTTGTCTAACTTAAGCTAAGCATGAGTTCATACTGATGTCTACAACTCTAATTCATGACCACATGTATCATTCTAACCTCCTCCCTTGCTTATCTTTAAACTCCCTACAGTGAGTGACAAACCTGGCTCCCACCATCCTCCATCCATTTACTTAATTGTTCAATTCCAGTATAGAAGCATCAGAATTATTAACCCATATTCCTGTGGGAAACAACTTTATCAACCAAAGTGTAGTGCTACATACAGTTTCTTTTGCCTTTAGTCTTATATACCCTACTCATTTCCAAGGTTACTATCCTGAGATTCCTCTTGACCTCCTAAATGATTTTTTAAAAATGTGCATACATTGTGTCACTCTTTGTGCTGTAAAGTTCGATGGTTTTGAGAACTGAATGTCATTTAGCCACAATTCTAGTATCATGCAGAATAGTTTCACCTCCCTAAAAATTCTTCTATGCCTGATTAAATTTTATTTGAAAAGGTTTAAAGAAACAAATAAATACAGAAACCAAACTAACAAACACATTGGTACATGTTATCAAAAATTTGTAAGTAATATTTTGTTATACTTGTTCCAGATTTTTTAAAAGACATTTTAAAAACAAATTAAGTCCTCTTGTACTTCTTCGTAATTCCATTTCTCTTCCTTTTTACTCAAGGACAGTTATTGTTACAATTATGTTTTTTTCCAGTCCATGATTTTATACATTATTAGATGTACTTATGACCCTAAACAATAAATATTATAGTTCTGTGTGTTCTAGGTACATTTATATAAATGACACGATTTTGTATGTATCTTTCTAAAAGTTACTTATTTTACTGTTAATACTGTGCTTCTAAGATCCATCTATGGTTTGTAATTTTTGTGCTGGAATGGCTTTACAGTGTTTAGTTATATGAATACACCACATTTTATTCATCTGTTTCTCTATTAATTGACATTTAAATTGGGCCTTGTTTTTTGCTATTTCGTATGCTGTATCAGCATCCTTGTACATATCTCTTCATGAATATGTGGAAGAATTTCCTTAGAATATGTAGCTGGAAGTGAAATTATTGGATTATGTGGCATGTACATTTTCTATTTTACTAGAAGTGGCCAGTTTGCCTCTAGTGTGGTTCTACTAATTTCCCACATCCTTGGCATCACTTGAAATTGCTGACTATATTTTTGCTAATCTGATGGGTACGATAAATTGTCTTTCCCAGATTTGCAGACACTGTGGAACCAATCACCTCATTTTCTCAGCAGCTAGAACTAATTTTGATAGGAGCTTGGGTACTTACCCTAGGGACCATTTGTTGGTTTCTAATAGCCTTTTATGTTATTTTCAAAGGTGTCTGCTTATCCAGGATTTACCAAGTTGTTTTGGAATCTGACTTCACCCAAATTCTCTGTTCCAGTATCTGTCATAAAGGAAACCGTATATCCAAAATATGAGGTAAAATACTGAATGACCTTTCTCTATTGTTGTTTAATAATTAGACTGTATAATTGACTATGACATTAAATTTTACTGGACAGTTGTTATGTAAATTGTCGGTAAAGATTGACATAATTGAATGATTGGACGGCACTATAGAAATTATACATATAAAATAAATAATTTTTATATGTATGTGTTATATGTGTATACATATATACACACATAACCCCTAACTGTATGTACACTTATGCACATACACTTATACGTATATTTCTAAAAAATAATGTTGTACTTATCCATGTTAATTTACCCAGTCAACAAGAGTATTCTCTTTTCTTTCTGAATGAATCATTTATTTGACTGACAAGGTATAAAGCTTCTTGGGTTGTTTAGAAGATCTTTATGATATTTTCATTTGCTTTTAAAAGTGCATTTTTAGTTAATGTTTAAGAAAGTTTAAAACTACCCAATACAATTATTAATCTATTTTCTTCTTCCCTTAAAGTGTTTGCTTGCTCTCATTTTATGTTATACAGCTTATTTTAAAAATTAGAAAAATGAAGAGAAGAAAACCAAAATCATCTGTTATTTTTCTCCCTCAAGACAATCACTGCCCACTTTCTCGTCCATTTTCTTTCATTGTTAAAATTTCTTTTTCTTCCTCCTCCTCTTCTTTTATTCTCCTTCCCCCCGCCCCTTTCTTCTTCCTACTTATATTTTCCTCTTAAAATAATTCTGTGATGGACATCATGGTGCATGCATTTTTAATGGTATTTAGAATTAGGTTATTTGCATAGGATCCTAGATAGCTTACTGATAACACATATTTCAGGAAAGAATAAGACAAAAAAGTTAATCATGGGGAAAGCATACCAGGGTATTAGCATAATAAATTCAGAGATAAGATTAAATCAAAGAAATTCTGTCCATATATGCCCTTGTTTGAAATGGTCATCAACATCATTGTTGATATTGAAACATCTTTATATTCCTTGATTATGATGTATTATTTTTAAATATTGTATTGAATTCTGTTAGACAATATTTTATTGTATTTTTAAAATATATACTCATGAGTGAAATATGTATTTAGTGTATTTTTTTGTTGGACTCTGTTATCAAAGTCATTCTTGCTTTATAAAGTTAATTGGGTAGCATTTCTTCTTTTTTAATATTCTGGAATTAAAATAACATAGGAATAACCTTGAAAATGTGGAAGAATTCACTGTCTTGAAACATTTGAACTGTTTGGGAAGGTAATTTTTTGACAGTTAAAACTTTTTATTTTCTAATTCTTGGGTTATTCATGTTTAATCTTTTTTCTGAAGTCAATTGGTAACATATTCTTACAGAAAGCCATGTATTCAGTTGAAATTTATAAGCTTATATGCAGAGTTTGTATATATTCTCTCTTTAGTTTTAATCTCCATTTCTAAAGTTGCATTGTTTTCTTTCCCATTTCTAATGATATTTCGGGAAGTTTTTTCTTCCCTAGAATGAATTTTCTAGAAATTAGTTTAGTATTTTTTTTTTGGTCTTTTCTCATTTATTTTCAATTACAAGCGCTTTATTCTCTACTTGTCAAATTACTTTACCCACACTAGTGTAAAACCATCTCTTTAATTTTTTTAGCAAGGTTTATGGTGTATGATTCCGTAGCTGTTAGATATCATGACCAGTCATCCAGAAAAACAAATGAGTCCAACCTACCATGTTTGACCAAAAAACTTTTGGATTAGTTATAAATTCAGCTTTTGCCCCTCTGAGTTTTTGTTGCTTCTTTTTTTCAAAATGTTTTGTTTATTCGTTTCCTGCTTCCACAGGAGGTTGACATCTCTATTTGGGCATTTTCCTAATTTCTTGTTGAAAATTTAATTTCTTTACCTTTCATATTTTTAACAAATATAAGTATTTTGACCTTATTTCATACATTTTTATTTATGGTGTGTTCATTTATTTTCTAAATAATTTCTATTGCAGTTTTCTTTATCTTATTGATACACAACTTATGGGGGAAAGTGTTTTTTTAACTTGTTGAAATTATTTTGTTTAATTTTTATTGTTTATCCTTATTAACATAAGAAATATGTTCTTTAGAGTAACAGTTTCTTGGAATTTATTGATATTTGCTTTGTGGTTTACTAGATATCCCAATAGTATCTACAATACTAATTCAATGCTATTATATGCAGTGACTTTTATATTGTAGCCGCATTAAGCGGTGTGCAGGCTTTGTAATCAGACAATCTTGGATTTGAATCCCGCTTGTTTTCTGGATACCCTTGTATTAGTATCTTAACTTCTTTTTAAAAATTTTTATTTTTTTTTGAAGTATAGTTGATTTACCATGTTTCAGGTGTACAGCAAAGTGATTCAGTTATACACACACACACACATATATATATGTATGTATGTATATGTGTTTTCTTTTCCAGATTCTTTTCCATTATAGGTTATTACAAAATATTGAATATAGTTCCCTATGCTATACAGTAGGTCCTTGTTGTTTATCTATAATATTTTATATATAGTAGTATGTATCTGTTAATTCCAAATTTCCAATTTATCTCTCCCCGCTTTCCTCTTTGGTAACCATAAGTTTTTCTTAAGTATCTTAACTTTGTTTTCATAAGTATCTTAACTTCTTGAAGTCTCAGAGTTTTGTATGTAATGTGGGTGTTCTGGGGATTTAATAAGAGACTGTATAGTGTGTTGCCTGTTGAATGGTAAGTGCTCAGTTAATAATAGGTAGGGCTGTTATATTGTTCTGTTATTCCATTCTTCTGTGGCATAGTTCTTTCACTTGATCTAAAATATACTTTTTGAGATTTTCAATGCACCTGTGTTTTGTCCATTTCTCCATATGTTACTAATAGCTTTTACTTTATGTGAGTAGAAGCTGTTTATCTTTATTATGAATTTGGCAGTGTTTTACTTTCTTATGAATTCTGTCTCTTATCAGTTTTGAATGACCTACTTTGGCCTATTTAATGCTGCAATTCTACTCTAATATGGCCAGCCCTGTGTTGTTATCTGTTTGTGTTCAGGAATATTTTCATTTTAATCATCTCTTTGTTGTTTGTTTTGTTTTATATGAGCCATGTAAGTGGCATGTGGTTAATTTGGTGTTACTAACATTATTTTATTTTGTGGTTTCTTTTCAAAATTTTCTTTCTAGTTTGTCTTTTGTTAAACCATTATTTTCTTTAGCAATATTATTGTCTGTGCTGTTTTCAGAGTGGTAAGGCCTATTAAAATTACTTAAGAACTTGCACAAGTAGCAGAAAAAATTCAAATACAAAGATGTGTATGGCATAAAGAGCACTCCCCATCTTGAATGCTGTCCTCCCCAGTCCTCTTCTCCCTGAAATCAACTATTGTCAAATACACTGTATGTATCTATTCGGACATTTTCATTTTTATTTATGTCATGCAGGTTTGTGCGGATTAATGTTTTTACATATGTGGAATAAGGTAATCTATATCGTTCTGCATCTTGATTTTTTTTCTCTTAAAACATACTTGCACGTATCTTTGCATACATATGTGTATTTTTTCTATTTGAAATTCCTGGCCAAAGTGTATGTGCAATTTAAATTGGAAGATTATTGTGTATATTTGCACTTCCTTTTTTTAAGTGTAATATAAACTTTTCATTTACTTAAGAAAATAATAATTATTTTTTTTTGGGAAACGATGCCATGAACTAAAAAGAGAAGATTAATAACAAATTATATAAAAGATTCTTTAATGTAAAAGATGGGTGAATATTAATTGTTTAAATAGGTGTGGCAGTCACAAAAAAAGATGTGATGCTCACATTTCCTTCAAGAGAATCTGATGGAAGAGCATACTTGGCCAGCCTCCAGCTGCTGTCCTGTAGATCTACCGTGGCATTCACTCCAGGGCCATTCTTCCTCTGGACTGCTCCCAGACAGTGACTGAGCACAGGGGCTTTCTAAAGCTGACCCTTTCCAGTTCAGTGTGGGACTGTTTTATCAGGTACTTTGGCTCAGAGACTTTCCATCTGCCTGGCTGACTCTTTCTCAGAACTGGTCCATAATCTGAAGCTCTTCCTACCGAGTCCTTCCTCTCTTTTCCCCTTCCACAGTTGTCAGATCTACATCATGGTCTGAAGGCTCCCCCTGCATGTTGCTCCCTCTCTCTTTATCCTCCACTGATAGCATCTGATTCTAAATGAACTGACACAATAGGGGGGGTCTGCAATATGAGTACAATGTTGTCTAAACTGTGTGTTTATAAAGTATGAGCATGTATGTGTTTATAAAGTATGAGCATGTATTTTTCTGTCTTTGTATATAGAAAAGTGTGAATATAGGGAATTGAGAGTAGGCAGAATTGTCTGAACAGAAGTAGGAATTGTAGCAATTATAAGAAGCGTTGGTTAGAACTGGTGATGATGGATTAATGTATTAGAAAGGTAGTCCAGAAGTAAATTGGTACTGGTGGTTGTTCACACCCAATGACCAGAAGGAAAAGGATCCAACAGGACTTCCTGGTACAAAAAGAGGGCCCAGAACACTTTCCATTCACCAGAACTGTAATCAGACCTTTGTTCAAAGACTCTTGGTTTCTTTGAATGGGAAATGATATTTAGATACAAAGATCTGTGTGTCTCATTTCTTTTAAAAGCAAATTTTACCTGTTTATATATATTATGATTACTGATATTTTTTGTTTTATCCTGCCATTTGATTTTTGTTTTCATAGATGCTGCCTTTTGTTTGTTTTATGTTCTCCTTTTATTTCCCATCTTAAATTTATCTTTTTTATTATTCCTTTAAAAAATGTCAGTGGTCTGCATATAATATATTCTGATTTAATTTTTAATATTTTTATTTATTTATTTTTTATTGAAGTAGAGTTGATTTACAATGTTGTGCCAATCTCTGCTGTGCAGCAAAGTGACTCAGTTACACACATACAGACATTTAAACAATTCTTTTCCATTATGGTTTATCATAGGATATTGAATATATTTCCCTGTGCTCTAC